GGGGCCCGAGGGGCGACGGCTGCCTGTGGATGCTGGGCGCTGCAGTGGTTACCTGGCGGGAGGTCGGTGACGATGGCCTCGGGGGCGATGCAGACGGCGCTCTCGTACTCGGGGAGTCCGTGGCAGTCGAGGGCCGGGGGCCAGGAGTGGTTGTAGCGGCGCAGGAGGGGCTCGCAGCCGCCTCGGACGCTCTGGCAGAGGGAGCGGCAGGGCCGGACGGGCTCCGGGAGGAGCTCGAGGGCGCAGATGGGGGCGAACATGGCGCAGAGGAAGAAGGCCAGCGCGGGGCTGCAGCCCGAGGCCACGAGCTCCAGGTAGGGCTCCAGCGCCAGCGCCGCGTTCTCCTGGGTGCTGTGGTGCAGGTGGTTGGGCAGCCGCGTCACGTTCCAGGGCATGCGCCGGCACAGGGGCACCCGCACCGCCTCGCACCGGGAGAGACGCCCCGGCAGCACCGGCACCCAGGACGAGGAGGAGGCGGAGCCCCAGCTCAGCACCGGCCCCGACGGCACCAGCAGCACCACCAGCACCGGCACCGGCAGCAGCATCCTCGGCAGCAGCAGCAGCACCCGTCGGACCTAGGAAGGCAGGCAGGCAGGCAGGAGGGCGAGGAGGTCCGCGCTGGCAGCCTCCTCCCTCCCTCCCTCCGAGGGAACCGGCTTATAAACAGTAGTGCCTCCGGACCCCGTGACGTCCGGGAAGGAAGGAGCGCCCTCCAAGGGGGATCCCTCTGGGGAAGGGGGGGGCAGGGCAGACGGCAGCAGCAGCAGCAGCAGGAGGCACAAGGACCTCCAGCACCTCCTCGGAGCCCTTTCAGCCCGGGACTACATCATCATCACCATCATCATCCTCATCCTCCTCGGACTAAATTATCATCACCATCATCCTGGGACTACATCATCATCATCACCATCATCCTCCTCCTGGGACTAAAATATCATCATCACCATCATCATCATCACTATCATCATCATCATCATCATCATCATCATCATCACCACCACCACCACCATCTTCATCATCCTGAGACTACATCATCATCACCATCACCATCATCACCATTCTCCTCCTCCTGGGACTAAATTATCATCATCACCATCATCACTATCATCATCATCCTAGGACTACATCATCATCACCACCACCACCATCTTCATCATCCTGAGACTACATCATCATCATCATCACCATCACCATCATCACCATTCTCCTCCTCCTGGGACTAAATTATCATCATCATCATCACTATCATCATCATCATCATCATCATCACCATCATCCTCCTCCTCGGACTAAATTATCATCACCATCATCACTATCATCATCATCATCCTAGGACTACATCATCATCATCATCATCATCACCACCACCATCTTCATCATCCTGAGACTACACCATCACCATCATCACCATTCTCCTCCTCCTGGGACTAAATCATCATCATCATCATCATCACCATCACCATCATACTAATACAATCTGTGAATAATCCAGTCCGCAAAAGCCAAATCCGCAAATGCGGAGGGATGAGTGTATAATTTAAAACAAGAACAACCCAGGCTTCCACTTTTCCTCTCTGCTCTCAAAAGCCTCAACTTGTTGAGAATCTTTCCCCAAGTTCTGTGATTCCCCCCCCCCCCGCCTTTCCCTTTACCTATAGGAAATGTCTGAGAAATGTCTGAGTAGGGATACTGATAAGAGCATGTTGGGTGTATACTTGTTGCAAGGGTCCCTGCTCCATTTTTGTTGTTGGGATGTGCCTTGGAGTGGACTCCAACTTATGAGGATGCTGTCCTTTCTTGGATGGACTGATTCAAAAGAGTGTGGCACCTTTGAGACTAAAGGAAAGAAGGAAGCAGGTAGCGTGAGCTTTCGTAGACTTGAGGCTATTTCTTCGAGAATCCAGAGACAGACCCATGTAAGTCTTTGGTGTGCGAGAATGTCAATTGAAATGCAAAACCTTGAGGGTATGGAGATGAGGCTCAAGTCTAGAAAGCTCAGGCTACCAACATCTTTCTTCCACAAGATCCCTTTGCATACTGATTTTCCAGACTAACACAGCTATGTCTGATTCAGAAGATTCCTTTGAATTTACCAATTTTTGACCAATTTCTCACTGCTAAACAGAAATTGGAACCTTTTGTCACCCAGTGTCCTAGTCCAACCCTCCAGTTCTTACTCCATGCGTTTTTATTGCGGTAAATCCAGCAGGATTCAATGCAGATCTATAAAGTAGTACCCTTAAGGTATCAGCCCAGACATAAGCTGGTGTATTTGTCTTTTAGTCGGATGGGGCAATTTGCTGGGAAAAGGGAAGCGCCGTTAGATTACTGCTCATGCGAAATGTTTTCAAAACTTTCTGAATGGAAGCAAAGTCCCCCTCAAGCCTGTCAGACCCAAAACAAACAACAATCCTCTAGAGGAATCTACAGAGATGGACCAATAAAATAAGGGCCACTAAAGATGGGATCACCTTAGTAAGCTTCTAGATCCCTACCTCTGAGATCTCCTTGCTACCTGGGATCCTTAAATTAGGAGTGCCAGGAACTGAATTTAGGACTTTCTGCATGCAAAGGTTATACTAAGTCAGCTTTTGTTGTTGTCGTTGTGTGCCTTCAAGACATTTCCAACTTTATGGCAACCCTAAGGTGAACCTGTCATGGGGTTTTCTTGGCCAGATTTCTTCCGTGACTTTCCCAGGGTCACCCAGCCAGCTTGGAAACAAACCTTGGTCTCTAGAGCTGTAGTCCAGTACTCAAACCACTATGGA